GAATACTCTGTCACCTTCCATCTCTTTTACGAGATATCCAACTACCTACCTATCAAAGGACAAGTTTGCTGCTCTACAGTCTGTTCTGTCCTGTTGTACGACTGTGAGAAAAAACCGTTAAAATTAGGAGATATGAAATCGACAGGGTTTTGATCATATATATCTACGTAGCGTTGCTTGAGTGTGATGGAATCACCATGTGAGGTGTGTTGAGGTCAGGTGAAGGGTACAAGGCAACACAGACAGTTCGATTGATATACTGTGAATCTTCGTCGACTGAGCTCATGTCCAGCCATCGCCTATCCGGAAGTGGCATGCTAGGGGAAGCTGGATTAGGTTGGGAAAGAGTGCAGGGTGGCCAGACTAAGATGTGGCACCGGTAAATGAAGTCTCTTACTGTTGGTTTGGGTTGTGTGGGGAGATGTAGACCGCCTGGTCACGGTCCTCGTACAGACATATTTGTCTGCATGTTTCCTGGTTAACAACTACTTAATACTTGTGAGTAGTTGCTGACAAAAATGAAATATTATTTTATAACCAGTTTTCAAGTCACGTAAGCCTAAAATCACTCCTAGGCAAGTTCATTAACTGAAACGCATATCAACTAACAAAAGTGTGAAAGTATAAGAGACTGAAAGCACTTTTTTCACATATGGAGTAGTTTACCCTACTCGATCTGTTTGCTAATAGTGATCAGAAGGTAATTGTGTGGAAAGGGAAGAAGCTGCTTACAGATAATTAAAGGAGAATATTGACCTGCGGTACCGATTGAGAGAAGCTGACATGTTCAAGAAAGCTGTAAACCTGATTTACGCATTTCCTGTGATTTATTCTTAACCAAACAATATTCACTGAAGAAAACGTAGAAGTCAAGTCAGCATTTATGATGAGACAGGAATGTCATCCATGTTTCACCATTTAGTCACCGATTACTGTACCTAATTCAGTTTTGTAAACAGTCGGTGGTTACCTGTTTAGTTGTTGCACCCAGTTGTTTGGCAGTGAAACCCACTTTATTGAACTATAAATTTTGAGTTGTATACTTTCAGCCTGTTGCTTGTAGATGGCTATTTAGGAAGTCAAACATTTGATTTTCTAGGGATGTTGAAATTTACAAAAATTCTTGGGGAGAAGAGTTTTTCGTTGGTTCTGAATGCTGTTACACAAAATAAATACTAATTCAAGAATGTTGAAGTATTTTGCATCTCTAAAACGCAGATTATTCTTTCAGGACTAGTACGCATCGATATACCGTCTGACAACGTTGAATATTCTAATTCAATGATTCAGTTATGTGACCATTGTTATCATCAAGCCATCGAGTTGTCATACAAGGAATAGAAGATTGAGACCAAACCGTGAGGCTTTATTGACTCACATTATATTAATCTATGATGTGTACTTTTTGAGTGAGATTAGTTTGGAAAATAGCCTGTATTGAGCAAACCAAAATGTGACACAGACTGTGGCTTTAGATTGTTGGCTCAATTTTTTTGGTTTGAATTTATGAGGCGACTGAAATCAGTGCCTAAAATTTCAAATTGTATGATAAGAGTTAAAGATGTATATAAACCTTATATCAATTTGAGTCTTGAAAGTCTATAATGTTATGTTTCTATGTTTATTACTACCATTCCGAATTTCGATGTCTTAACACCTGGGTGAATGATGATATGTTTTCAAAAATTTCTTTATCCTCCAGTTTACTAACTTCACTTAAGTGTGCGACAAATTTAACGAGTGGGTGATACTGCTTCATATTGGATTTCTGAAAGTTCTGATTCGGAACCAAGGCTTCTTAAGTTTGCTGTGTCAGTAGCACAGTACATTATTGACTGATGGGAGTTAATGATGTTCACGCTAAATCAAAACTGATAGAAGTCAAAAAGCGTTGACCAGCTGATTCGACACTTGTGGCTGAGTAGAAATTTCCTCACTGAAATACTTCATCGTCCTCTGCTCTTTCCTCCAAGGGGTAGCTGATGAACACCACTGAAAAGTTTGAAATCAAGAGTAGAAAGCTATTCAGTGCTTTTGAAGTTTTCAAGGGTTTTACGCCTGGTATGAGTCAGTATTGAGAACAAGTATGCGACTTCTAGTCCGTTGAAACTGATGGTTTAAGTTATTTAAGCATGATTACATCACTTTTATGAAATCTTTAACAACTTTTACATTTACCAGAGTTATTTTTGAAGCACTTTAAATGTCGTCATAACCTAATGAACTTGTGTATTCACAGCTCAGTTGGATGTAATCGAGGTTAGTGTGATAATATGTTTTTTGCTTCATCGCAAATGAGTGTCTTGAATGGAACCATTAAAAGCCACAGAAGAACAAACAGGTGTTCCATCTTAGTTCACAACGCCTGAGCATCGAATAGGCATGACTCTAAGTAGCATATTTATTTTTAATATGTCAATACATTTCATTGATATGAAAATGTCTAATCAAAGGATTATTTAGGATCTTAGTTTTAAGTAAATGGTAAGCTCCTCTGATCGGAATCATACTTGTCCCATTGTTTTACTTTAATTCTGAGCGTTGGGTGATTCGTCCATTTGATGTACTGCATATTTGTACTGAGTTTACAGCCATTTTTATTCAGCGAACAGCAAGAATATAAAATACTATCGAACTGCGTGCTCAGAAATGCCTTTCTAAGTGAAAGTAATTAAAAACCAGACGAATGACCACAAAAAGAAGGAGAACTTTCAGTTACATAATAATATATATGAAATCTGTTTCGCCTAAAAGTAGTAGTTCTGTCAGTCACAGGTCAACCTTGATGTTTTTGTGGCTATGTGAACTGTAGTGTAGCAAAGAAGATGGCTATTGTCTGCCTACATTTCAGGTGTTTTCATTTATTTAGTATGCACGTTTACTTCTTAGCTCACTCGTTCACCTTAGAATTGCTGTCACATGTTTCACTTCGAACTGATTAGGATGTACTCAAGCTAATCAGAAGATAGTAGACCGTTTTTGTGATCTAACTTTAATCACAGTATATCGTCATTCAACGAATGTACTTTTGGGTATGTTCAGTGATACATAACGCCTTCGGCAGACGTTTTGACACTCATACTACATTTATCCACAATAAGAAGTGAAATCATTGTTAATTTTTGTGATCGCTCGTTGAAAATGCTTGTAGATAGCATTATATAAGTCAATATCACGAGTTGATCTCTGGTTGTTGGTCTCAGTCAGGTTCGAAAGTGAAGGTTGACTAGTTGCTATCCCTTAGTTGTTAGGAATCAATGACTGGAGACTTTGTGATATGGCTGGAAGTCAGTCATAGTGATGCAGGCTCAGTTATGCCTAATTCTATTGGAAACTGTCAACATTGTGACCTTTTATTTTCGTTTATTTGTCTTGCCTTACATTATAAATCGTTATCTGCTTAAATGTCATTCTTTTCTGCCTCATTTTATCTTTGTACACTGCGGTGAACTCTAGAAAAACTTAAAGTAATACACCTTTTTGAAATGCTCCACTTGTATTTGTATATCTTTTTTAGGCTTCCAACCCTTAAATAGGATAAATTGTTTATAAGTAGAATTGAAAAGTGAAAAAATTGAAAGGATACTCGTACCAACACTTTCACAATAATCTTGAACAGGAGAAATAGTCACGTAAAACAAAGTGCATATACATAGTTTAATTGGAAAAATAATTATGTTAATTTATCAATAATTTGCTTTCATTATTAAATATGTATGCATACGCGCATATATATATATATATATATATATATATATACCTGTTCAGAGTTCATTATTTTCAGATTTTCACGCTGTAACCATCTGTACAAATGAAATCTTTTAGCAAAAACTACTCATACTGTTTTCTTTTTCATTACTGTCATCGACATACACATCGTTATCATCACCTAGTTGATCGTACGTCCTCTGTCAGAATTTTGTCGAGTAGAAGGAGAAAAATGAGGGGAAGTCAGAAATAAAGAAAAGATGAAAGCAAAAGTGAATAAACAAACATTAAACGTCTGAAAGTTGCTGTGACATTTCATCTCAAAGGACATAATATTGGCATTAGGAATGTGTTATTAGAAATCGTCTTTTCTCCCTTTATCATATATTTTAATTTAGCTTAATCATTGCCGTCACTAACTTGTATCACTGTTACAATGAGTAAGGTTACCTAATAATAATAATAATAATAATAATAATAATAATAATAATAATAATAATAATAATAAATGATAAATTCCCATTTGGAAACTGAAGAAAACTGAAGATAGGCTGTTCTTATTTTTTGATCTTCAAATATTAATTTAATAACTAAAAAGTACTTATAAGCTCGAGAATAGATATAACACGAGGAAACAATCAGAAAAGGAGAAATTATAGCAATAGTGGAAGAGAAATACTGATAACTGATTATCAGGAAATATATACATTTAGAATATAAACGAAAAAGTTTGACTGTAGGTCACCGAAAAAGGTAATTCAAAAGAAGAGATTGTATGCAAACACGTATATGATAGGTAAATAACAAGTAAGCAACTTTTTATTTGTTCATTCACCAGTTTCTTGTTTGTAGGTTACTATTAGAGTGAATGGAGGTAAGTTATTGTCTGATTATTGCTTTCTATTCTTTTCACAGTGAAAACAAGGAAATTGGAACTTTCGCTCATCAGGTTTCGATCTAGTGTTCATCTTAAGTCGTTTGATATGTGAGTATACCCTGACAGAGCGACGCTTTTGGTTGACCAACTTTTAGCCTGAAACGAAATCAGTAACCATACTTAGGAGTCTTATTCCTTAACAACCAATGTGTATGTGTCATTAATTGTATTTACTGAAATCATAAAGGAATAAATGTTTGAACGGTAAAATGTTGTTGAGGAACTGGCAGAATATATTCAACCTTTATGCGAATAGCTTTCACAGAATCAAATAACCAGTAACTATTGTTCATTATGTTATAATTTCTGATATTACTTGAAATGAATTATCGGATTTATGTGTTCTTGGGTCTGATTATAATTGTACAAGTGAATGTCCATTTATCTTATCAGTTTGGATGTTATGCTCATGTAAATAATGGTTTTGTGTTAAAGAGACTAACGGTAATGTATGAGCTGAACAATGATTATCATGATTAGCGAATACTTTGGTGTTGTGTGCCAAATTCTCTGGTTTTGTTGGTCTATTCATCAGTGTTGAACATTGAAAGTGGTTGAAACAGTCCATCATGTTGGAATTATCAGTGTTATTCCAATTGAATATATTACTATCATTATTATTAGTGGTAATATCGTTGTTATCATCATTGGGGTATTCATATATACTGAATCTATATTAGAATAAGAAATATAATTTGGTTGATAATATCTGAAATTTGGTCGCATATGTTGTGTTGATAATCTACAAGAATAAGGAGTAGTATTAGCCAGACTAGTGGTCGCTGTTACATAAGCGGATGGACAGATTTGTGCAAGACTATTGAATTTACCTCTCGATTCGCCAGATACAGTAGAATTTATAATTGATTTCAACTGTTGAAGATGATTTAATTTGATCTTTCCCTTCATTCACCTGTTTGTGTAAGGCTTTTTGAATTATTCTTTGTTGTGATAACTGACCACCTGAAGAGGCGAAAATGGAATCATATGTTTGGTTTTGAACGGTAGGGCGATTATTGAATAGTTCCATAACTGAAGGTACGATAAACTTCTGTGGAATATTGAATTTTTCTCATCGGTTTGATACTGACTGTTTGTTTCAGTATAAATCATTGGATTTAGTGAAAATGGAATCAGTGATTCATCATGACCGAGCTGGCAATCCTTATTACAGTTAAAATGTATGTTTGTATTACACTGGTGATGATGTTGATTGTGATGACGATAATGACAGTAATCTTGCATTGAATTTGGTGGATCTTTTCTTAGTTTATGTGTTAATGAATTCATTGGCAGTCTTTTAGTTGTATATGTGTCAAATAGTGGGTTGACGTATACTTTAGATGACTGCGAGTTGCTTTGCTTGGGTAAAGAAAGGTTCTTTGGGTGGTAATTAAATTTGGAATCATTTCCCTAATAATATGAAGTAATGAAAATCATGATTATTTCAGTGGGAAATAAAAACTTTAATATATGCGATAAAATTAAATTAAGCATATTTTAACCGTCTTCAAACTAGTGTCACATGAGATGAGAAGTAAGCCTTCCAAATATTGATTTTAAATCCTAGCTAAACTTAAAACATATTTCTAAGGAGGATGAAAGTTATTTCACTACATTACAGGATTACAGAAGGCCTCTGGTTACTGCCACCAGTGGACCAGGCTTTATACAAGTGGCCTTTTGGGAACCTGTCATTAGAAGATTTTATGGTCTGTTATCATATATTGGTGGTTTTTCCTACTTTTCAACAGTTTTTAAGCTAACATTAGCTAATAAAAAGTATCTTCAGGTGTCGTTACCTTTCGTAAATATTAACTGCATAATTGCCAATCTTGTTTGCACATAGTTTAATGAATACAGAGGAAAAGACTATTTCTTTCTTTATCATTCTCATTCAACTTGATGCTATAGTTAGTTTGCTCAGTTACTTAGCAAGTGAGACTATATTTTGTCTGATGAATTTCAAACCCTAATTCCATGGGCTTTTATGCCATGCTAAATTCTAACTATCCAGTACAAGAATTTTTAGGTAGTTACTGAATAATCATCAAACTTACTTATCCGTATGAACTTCAAGCTATAATATCCTCTATATGAAGTGTTGGAAACCTATCATAAATCTCATGTCAAAATGTTTTAGCGAAAATTACCAGATACATTCAGATAGCTGATAACTGAGAAACGAGAGGTATTCCTTTTGATTTCAATTTTCGCATCTCTAAAAAAATATGACAGAGTTGATGCATGAAGTCAACTTGATAGCTATTAGATAACTCTAAGAAGTGGAAACTAAACACTCTTGATAAATTCCCAGAGTCATTTGACGTGTTTTTAATTTTACAAGGATATCTTTGGAAGAGACTATAGCTATTGTATGTCAGCATCCTGATTTGCTTCTGCCTAAGAAAGAAATCAAACTCCTTTAATTCCTTAGTACTTAGAATATACGATTTAAAGTCAAGATTATTGTTTACAGTTACACTGATGGGGTTGCGATAGGTATTATCTTGGGTATCATACCAGCTGATATCATTAACTATTTTACTGAGAACCGTGAATATACGAGTAATAAGTATACAACTGACGAGACAGTTTTCCATAATATGTATGTTGATGATACACTCGTTAATAGCAATAACCTGAAACGTACCTCTTGTTTGTTTAGCTTACTCAAAAAAGTACACTGAAACGTAGAAGTTTAACTTTCGTGGTTTGAGAATTCAAGAGACTGCAAATCGTAGCATACAAAAATCTATCCAATATAAAGATTCATGGAGTGGAATGTAACTTAATTTCGACAGTTTTCCCCAATATGTAATAACAAGAGACTAGTGAAAACACTTTTCAGCTGCATAAAATATCTTTGTTAGAGAGAGATACTCGAAGAGAAAATGATTATTGTTCGAAAACTCCTTACTAATCAACACCCACAAAATTTCAGCGGTTATTATTACAAGAAACTGACAACGAAAATTGGAATGCGTGATGTGTTCTAGAAGAAAACTTTGATCCTGAATCTTGGCTACAAATGGTGATAATGTTTTTGGTAAAATTAATTGTAGAATAAATGTATTAAAGGAGACTTTTTCATTTACCAGTTTGATCACACTTAACTAAACTGGTTGGTCACTGAGAGAGTTTGAGTTTGACAACTTCCTCTTTCATGTTATCTCCAACTGCATATATCTATTCAGACATACTTGCGAAAGAACATACACTAGATGAAGAGAAAGATAGTTTGTGACCGTTTGTCTAGCATATTCCAAAAAGTTTGCAAATAGGAGGCTGAAAAGTCCTGAACAGTGTTATTGCTTATCACCTTATTGACAGTGAATATGAAGTTAATATCCAAAAACTGTATAAAACAATTAATGAGCAGGTCTTTTATATCAGTAGAATGCAATGAGTGTGTTAAACGTGGTAACAGAGGTTTACTGTCATCCATTTTCATACCAGAGTTCATTATTTTGATGAAATATAAATGACTTTTCTTCCTGATACATAAGTTAGTCTTTTAGTCAATTTCCAGTACTAGCAAAATGAAAGGGCAAAAATGTCATATGAGATTCTGTAGAAGGGATGCAGATTGATTCATTCCGTACAGTAATAATCTCTTTGTGATATGCACCTTAGTAGTAGAAATTCTGTAGCTGATTTGCCTACAGTGATTCTGAGTTGAACTTGTAAAATGAGGCCTTATTGGTGAATCACTAGAATATGAATGTACTTTATGCGTAAGCGAATGGATTGAAGCCTTGGCAATACAGGGAATGATTGCATATTTTTCAGTTTACTGTCTATCACTCAATCTACAACGACTGGCAGTATCTAGAAATATAAGGTGACGAAATCCAGCACCTTTTTACAAACCATCTAACTACATTTTAGTTGACTGCTGATTAGAAACTGATCTAAAGAACAATGTCCCTTAGTTGGATAAAGAAGCCACGATTTATGATTTAAATAGACTCCGGTGTTGGAAAGAATGCTCACCGTCAAAATAATATTATGGTTGCCTTATGGCACTGGTCGACAGAAACGTGAAGCATCAGGCCACACTTCCTTGCTTGAATGATATCATACGATTCGTGAAGCCTGACAACCCTGTACCAGATATAGCACAAAGTTGTGAGTGCGTACAACTGAGGACATTCCGTATGTAGTGTAAAAGTGTTTGAATGAGCCCAGGTTTCAGAGTTCTTTTTTGACTGGTATCGGTTCCCACAGAATGCACACTTTAACGATCAGGTTCAATTAAAATGTTTTAAGTTATTGTCTTTTTCTCGTGATTGATCCTGAAATGAAGTGAGATTGTATGTTTTTATAAATATCTATTACTTAAAAGACATTTTGAAATACCTTTAGTGTGAGACAAAATTAAGATCGTAAGTAATTAAGTTCACTTGAATAATGGTTATATTACCAAGGAATCAAAATTTCTAACACTGAAATATCTTTACATCATCCTAAAAAAGATATCACTGACGAAATAACGTCAATTAGTGTTTGAGGTCTATATATACTTCAGTATGACATTTTCAGCTATTCATTAACTTCATTATTTCTTCAAAATATTTTTGTCTGTTTTCCGTCTAACTCCTACTTTAATGTCAGTTGTAAAGTTCCTTTAATCACTTTCATTACAAGATTGACCTTTACCAATTTTTGTTTTCTGTAGAATGTATATTATGCTGACGTGATATGCAAAGTTTATCCTATTTGCAATCTTGTTTTGATCACTAGTCGTATTGTACTATATATTTTTCCAAGAAATCATTAGTAACAGATATGAAAATATGTGGGAAGTATTTTATCATTCCTTTCAAACCAAAAAGATAAGTTAACAATGAAAAGTCCGGATTTTATTTGCCTTATCTCAAGACAAAAAATGGTTACGTAACTGTTAATTGTCACTCATTTGAATAAAATTTTTACTTTCTCCCATCAAGTTCAATCTATTTTAGACTGATGTTAGCTGAAGGGACGCAATTTTAATCGAAGCAGAATTATGTCGAAATAAATTTATGGGTATCACACTGAGAAACATCACTGTTTGTGATTCGTGACAGCTTGTTGGAGTCATGAAGAGAGTTGTAAGCTGGCTGTCTCCAGTCCTCGAAACGTTCTGAGGAAATGGTTGAAGAATGTTGATAATGTGGCTTAAAGTTGAGGATGACGTCACAAATGTATTCACCCTTTGTCTTTATAGTTTTGAACGATTTCAATGATGCATCCTCTCTCTCATACTTATTTATCTTTTTTAAAATCATTGTTTTTCTAAAAATATCTTCCTGAGGTAAAGTGAGGAAATTTAATCTGTTTCAGTTCTATGCAAGTAACTACTTTGGTTTGTTTGTATCTACTGAGTGGAGACCAGTTCAAGATTATGATAATCTGACACTATCTTTACTTGAAGTTCAATAGTTGCAGAATATTATTACAAGCTGACAACACTAGGATTGAGTTGATGTTACCATTAGCATATGGACAAGTGCTGAAACTACTTTCAGTTGAAAGGGAATGTAGGTTAATGCTATTGAACTGACTCTCATTCACTAGTGTTAATATGTTTGTTAGTTATTAACCGCTATAGTGAGCATTGGTGATCATCAGTTGAAACATGTATCTTCTACTCTTTTCCATTAATTTTCAGTTCATTGGAGATCCGTTAGGTAGTCCGTATATGACATTAGCTGACAGAACATACTGGCGTAGACACTCATGAAGAAAACATGGTTGTTCTCTTATGGGGAACAACTACTAACCTCGGATGCTTTGCGTTAGCAATTTTGTGCTTAAATGAAATTCTCATGTGAAGTTATCAGCCAGTCAAGTTGTTCGAGTAGAAGGATCAGTCACTCATCTAAATTCCTCATCAAATTCATATGATTTGCTTTATATTTCATCAGCTGTAAACTACAAGGTTCTACCAAGGAGTGATTTTACGCTTGATCTCTTCCGTAAGTTGTGCTCTGCTAGACTTGTAGCTGGAGTTTTATGAGAACTCTACAAGCATGTAAACACCATTACTGGTAAAAATTTGGAGTTTGCGATCATCTCTAGTAAACACTAAACATGATTTGTCGATCTCAACCAACCACTTCACCTAATGTGTAACCCTGTACTTCAGTATTATTGCCTTTAGAAAAAAATACAACAATATACACAATTCAGTTGTGATATTTTAAGGGAACTAAGTAGTTTCAAAGCCCTTTCAATCATGAATTGAAAAAAGTTAGAGGATCACCTGAAACCAGAAAGTCTTAACTAACTCTTTTGTATAACTTCAGTATTCTTCACTCGTGGCCCAGTAAAGGATGGAGGTTAGGACTATCAGTTCTTGTTGATGCAATGTTGCTACTTAGCGCCTGGCTAAAAGTTCAGTGATCTTTGTCTTCTTTTACTAGTAAGTATTATGACAGGTGGTATGCATGATACCTGGTGATACTAAACCCAGTTTTGCCTAAACTTATAGATTGGAATAGCTAATAAATATCTGACCGTAGCAGTACAGCTGTACAGTAGTTGTTAATTCTTGATGACTTCTGTAATTGTTAAAGATTTTTGGGGAAAACCAATTTGTATTAATCTGACTGATTTATCATTTTTACTAAAGATACTTATTGATTGCAGGGATTTAATATAAAAGTTATCTAAAATTGTTATTTTTTTGAAACACTATTTCATATATCATAATTGTTAAATGGAAAGATAAAAAGCGCGAAAGTGCAATTTAAATTTTAAAGAACTTACCTTATCATCTTGTTCACAAACAACTGATTTTTTCACAGGTGAACATGCTTTACCTGACGACTGTCTTTTTTTATAGCTACAATTTGAATAGTACGAAAACAAATTCACCATTTAATAAGGGTGATTAAAATTGTATGCTGAAAATTCACAAAAGGGCAGTTACTGCATTAGTGATACTCAGAAAAAGTCAGCACATCTGTCGATGTAGACACATGAAATTTCTTATACCAACAAAAGATAGAATCGAATTCATGTCAGCAGAACATTAGCAAGAGTAACTAGTGATTGAAGATAGAGATATTCTAATATCATTTTTAAAAATAACGTATCTAATACAGAGTTGGTGAAAGCATCCTAGGATTCAGACCATCCCAGTTTCCGACTTTGTGCTGTGGTAGCTAAGCTATTAGACGCGGTTTCCAGGGAAGTTAGAAGTCCTTTTTATTCACTGAGGATCTTCTTCATATGCTATATTAATGGCTGATAATCTTTTGTCTGTTTATACTCACAACCTTATCTTTCCGATTGTGGGATGACAGAGGAGGAGCTACCGGTTGATTATCCCTGAAACTATCTCGGATAGTCATGGTTTGTTCGACCCATCTTTATGTTACGAAGGGATTTTACTTTCTTTATTGGTGAACTTAGTCTAAAATACAGGTATCTTAGAGCGAAATCCTTCTCTTCATGGCTATTGAGTCATCTCTGTTTATTTTAGCGGTGAACAATATCACCACTAAGCTAATGAAGTGATTTCGGTTCTCATGAAAGACTGAATTACCTACATGCCATTTCCCAAACAGTTGTCAGTTTTATACAGATTGAAACCATGCAGATTATTGAAGTGTCATCAATTTTTATCTTAAGAGTTAATTTCAGCAGTTTGCCTTTCAGAATACTAGCCTTTACTTTTGATACAGTTAACACTAATTTACATAATACAACCACTGTGAATTATTTATTTTCACTTAATTTTCCATGAGAAGTGAATTTGGGTTTCATTTTGTGATTATCAGAAATTAGTTTTATATCTAAAACAATGGTTTTAAAACTCTGCACTCTTAGACTTTGGTTGTGAAGAACTGATTGGGTTGTGTAAGTTTACAAGGACTTAAAAAAAAATAAAATGGAAACAGTTCAATGAATACCTGAGTTTTGCAGTCGCAGCTAATAATGCATAGAGGCTCATCGTATCTCTTATACAAGTACCCATTATCATATAGCTGCCCAGGTACACTGACTTTCTGATCAGTTCCAGTGGCTCAACAGCAAAGACATCTAGCGATTTGTATCTGAATTGTTGAGGAAAAATACTAGACTTATAGACAGTGTTTTTTGACCTAATTAAGTACGATTTATACAGCACGTTTCGAATGTGAGATAAAGAAGCGACAGCCATGGATGAAGGAAACTTAAGAATGGTAAAAATATTAAGTTCGTTTCGCATCATCAGATTTTACATGTTATTTTCAAGTTGGTATTCATCATGGACTTTCATCAGTCGGAGGAACATTGGAAACCTGGAATCACTGGACAGCTGTTTCTTTCTAATATGGAACTGCTCAGTAGTGCGCACCCACGACCCCACTCAGCCAGGAATAGTAACCAGGACCTTCAGGTTCTACTGCCAGCACGTTACCATTGAGGCACTGGGTCGGAATCCAGTGGTACATATTTTGAACTTCTGTCAGTTCACGACATAGCACAACCGTCACCTGATGTCATCGTTGAGTATTTGTCCTCACAGCCACCAGGTTTGCCCGGCGGTCATGACCTCTTATTGGAACTTCAGAAATCACCTCTCAAAGCTAGTCATTAATGAGCACTAGGTCAATTGAATTTGGGGGTTTATTGGGATATCAGCTTGAAAAATCCCTAAATCCCCACAAACCCCAAGATTTAAATAAATCAGTTATGTCTATGGATCTTTATTTCTAAGTACAAAATTGTGAAGCAAACACATAGAAAATCAAGCTCTTGTGTTAGTTCATCCAATGACTATCATATTCCTAAGTCAACAAATTTCATCTATTAGTTACGACATAAGAACTTTGCTCATTATTATACGGAAAAATTTTAGAGCAAATTTAGGCTTTAAAATATTTACTGATTGGGATATAACTCGATAGTTATAACATCAAAGCTGCTGGTTCTGAAGAAAGGACAGTAAATAATTAGATTCATAAGATTCTTGGTAAGGTGCGTTGTTTGAATTTAGTAATATAATACCAAAAAGAAAAATGAGCCAGATAATTTAAGAAAAATGTTTTCTAAAGTTAGTCCAAATCAACTGATTATCCGCACCTATTTCCAAGCGCAGTACGTTATTCGCCACTAAAAGTTTTGTTTCTTCTTAAGGTTCACGAGTCAAATTCCGTTTTGTCATGCAAGAAATGTTAGGCTACAGTCAAGCACTACTTATTTTACTGCTTATACTAAAAAGAGAATTATATCATCTACAATGTTTTATTCAGAACGTTGAGTACCCCAAGCCACATTCAATTTTATACGCTTCGTTGAACTACTTCACAAAATAATTCAAAACTTATCGCTGGTCTGTTCATTTTTGAAATCAACTTGTGATAAAGAAAATAAACTGATGTTCACTACAATCAGTCTAGTCAAAAATGATTCCTGATATTTCTTATGACGTAAAGTTTGGAAAAATAACTTCATCACGTTTCCCATTAAGATGATGAATCAACTCAATTTGTATTGTAGTTTCAAAATTCAGCCTAGCACATTGCAGAAAATTTATTATCTGCCTACTAACCTTTATATTATTCTCGACTGACAATTTTAATCAGAAACTAACACCGTGATCGTATCATTTTGGTCACAATTTAGTACACAGGGAACCGTTTTGTCTTACTCCCGTTCCCGTTATCAGATATTATTGAATAATACGTACATACCTTCATTAGGCTGGTAGTTAAAGCTTTTAATATCTATTCGATCGGATCATGGAATTGTTATCGTACCATAATACAGAGTTAACTGTCTGAAAATTCGGACTAAGTATCAGTTTCAACCACCAAGTTTAAAGTACACTTAGCAAAGCATTACCACAGTAGATTTACTTCCACTCACAAGTCACAACTGCAATGAAAACTCCACTGCGGTATTCAAGTATTCAGAAGAGACATACTGAAGCATACATCATTGGTTAATCTCTTTATACTTTGCTAAGGTGCATTGTTCTAACAGTGATAAACTTGACCTTCAAGTAAACATTATTTACAAAATCTTTGAATAACATTCGTTAAACTTGGTACTAAGAAGTTGGAAGTGGAAAGTAAGTACTTGCCATAACTTTAAGGAGGGAGTCGAAGGAAAAGACACGTCTGTCCTAATTTCTATTTTTCACCATATCCTGTCAGTATAAAGCGATAAAAAATCAAAAGAACAAGGTAAAAAGAGACATAGAGACTATGAGGATGGGAACAAGCTTGTTGAATGGTAAAACAATATCTATACTGAACTTTGTCCAGAAATATTTTACGAAAAATTCCTCTTCTGCAGCCACTTAAATGTAATGATTGTTTGCAATTTCGCAGCTTGACGATGGAATCACTGAAAAGACTGACTTTTTACTAAATGTTTTTGTTCAAGCATCGTTGTTGGTTGATAGTGCTGTTCTGTTGGTTTGAAAAGTCCGTATTTTTTTCAGTCTGTTCGTTTCATGAATAAAACTGGTAATTTAGATTGTATTTCCACAGCCACTGGATTCGGAACGAGGCAAACCTTTGTTAAAGAAGGCTATTCGGGAACGGAACATATCAGTCTGTTGGTTTTGTCAGTCAAAACAGTGAATTTAGTACAGGACAACCATTTTGAGCTCAGACATTTCATAGCGTTTAGTGTTATAGATTCTGAATGATGATCAAAGGTGAAATAAAAACCTCAATCATGGCAGGATTCAAATTAGCAGTCTCGTCATAATCCTGTCACTACCCAATTTTCTCATTTTACCTTCGGTCACCACCCATTATCGATTCTAAATTCTAAGGGGAGAATTTAACACAGAGCACTGAATTGTCTACACCTGTTACGTGTAATTAGCTAAGATAAATGTTTTAAAATTCATAAATTTGGATGAAAGATAGACTAATTCTCGACAGTTCATACTAGAATCACAAACACTTTCGATTGTATGGTTAACAAAAAGTTGGTCGAAACCACCCATTTGTGATCACATGTTGTGATCTCTGACCTACATGAAGTCAAAGTTTGATGTTTAAGCCGATATCCAAAGTTGGTTATCACCATAAATTCATACCAAGAAGTTATTGAAAAGATTTACCCTAAAGGTTAAATTCAGTGACTGCCAGGGATCACTTAAATGATAAATAGTACATTCAAATCTAAGTGAAATACTAAATCGACCAGTTAGTAAGCAACGTAATTTACTGGTAATGCAATATATATAATATATAATGCTTTTCTCGTAGTTGCCATTCAATTTTGTAACTACTTGTTGCTAAATATATGTCCGGAAACTCAAACAAAATAAATGTAGATAAGATAAATCAAACTGTTGTCTCAACCTTGACAATTCAGAAGGTAAACCAGTCAGTCATGACAGAAACTATTTAAAAACATGTAGATTTGTATAAGAAGCTTCTTGAAGTCGACGGGATTTGCAGTGTCAATTCAGTTACTCTGAAAACTAATAAACGAAGAGATCAATAAACATATTTGGTCATAGAAAAAAAGAAAGAAAACAACTACAACTGAAAAAGTTCTTTCGTGTGAAAAACTCATTCTTTTAGCTGGGCATTTTTGAGCATGTAGTAAAAAGGAGGGAATATTTCAGAATGGTTGGCAGTCAGGGGTCAAAATATAATGGATCAAAAAGATTGGAGGTGAGTGACGTTATTTAAGTAGAGATTCAGAATAAAAAATAAACAAAGGATTTTAAAATAGAATTTAATTGCACTGTAGGGCGATTATCTAGAATGATCACTTCTTTATGATTTTAATAGCCAAGGAAGAAGTGTTGTGTACATTTTTGAACATTCAGTAGGGGTTTCGACTTCAAATAGCCAAAGCTTCATACATGCCCAGGTGTCTTATACTTACTTATTTTGGATGGCTTGACCAAAATTTGTAGTGTTTCGAAGTTATTTTCAAACCCCAATTATTCTGAAATCACTAGGTGTTCTGTTGCAGATTCTAAAGTTCATTCCATTTTCCTCTTTGCTGGCTAGGCTAGTACTTCTGAGATCATCTAACATCTTGGCTGATCACACTGCCAATGTACTCAGCTCCACAGGATCACGTAAATTGGTGGGCGCCGATACTCCAACTTATTCTTAGCATACTTGTAGTTATTTTCTGGCAGGAGAACGTGATTCTGTGGTAAACAGTGGAAACACTTCTGCTTACAGGCTTTGATAGCCTTTTCCTTAGAACACTTACAGCTTTAAAGAAACCTTTCTTGGAAACCTCTGGTAACATTATGAAGATTGCTCGTAGGAGTGCTGGAGTTGTCGTTTTTTACTACCCTCAGTATGTTGACTATCTCACAACTTATTTATTTCATCCCTATCCTGTCATCTAAACGTGATCAAAATAGCAACAAATGATTTTTATTTGGTGAGATACTTGTAAGTGATAATGACTATTAGTTGGTACAGATGAAAACAGCTTGATCAGAAGCAATACACTTTTACAATACCATTGATACACTGAACCAATGAACTCAGCACAAAGTGGTAAGATAGCAGGAAGATTTGTACACAACTTTTCAACACACAAAAAAGATTACTTATAGACTAAAATCTTTGTCTATGTACATTATTACTGAAAATGATGCATCACACTTTTCATGTATTGTTTTCGATGCAATGACTGGTAATTTCACAAATGATCTTGAACTTTAATAATGCATATTCAAGTAGAACAGCAGCAGGTACGCTAGAAATTGTTACTTTAATGGCCAACTCATGTTCCGCAGTATGTCTTTCTTATTTAACTACTATTTGCAATTTTGTGTATCTCTTTCTGTGCTATTGTGAGGTACGAAAAAGTTTCAGCCCCAGTACTGTTGTACAGGATTTTACTACAGTTCTTCTATCTGTGCATCACAGGGTGAATTAGTGATAAAATCCATTTTAAATTCATCATTTAATTCAAGTGACTGAGTCATATTCCATTGTTCGAAAAGTGACTGGCATAAAGGTGAATTCATTGCAAATCTTAAAATGTCAGAATATGTAGAGTCAATTGGACGGGGGAGAGGAAAAAAACACTAGTGGATTGAAATGATCATAAACGTATACCGTATCGAGTAAAGTTCAAAACGCAAATGACTGGATTCTAACCTAGTAGGTTATTAGTAATTTTTCCGACTCAAAATGTGACAACTCCTGGATTGGTGTTCCGGTGGTATATGGGACCTAGAATCTGCGTTTCCAGAGGGAAACTTAAAATAAATGAAACTGTTGTTAATTGCTGCATAGTTTCCAGAGCTTCTTCATCAGATGTGAGTTGATAACTCGGTCCTTTTTCACACTACTCAATTCATTGCATAACCCTTTGGTTTCTGTCTTGGCCAGTTAGTCAACATCAACACGGAACCCCGGGAATTCTGCGCAAAGATCCTCACAATAGTATATCAAGGCATAGGACAATAAGTCAAGTAAATGTGAATATGAAAATTTATAGAAATGCAAAAACATACAGAAGCAAGGTAAAACAAAGTACCAGAATGTGACTAAATGGCTGAGATGAAGGTTAAGTGTGAGTTCACCTGTCCCTTTGAGACCAATTTTAAACACCACTTAAGAAAAATGATTTTAGTCGTTTGGTAGACTTCAAATTGTAAGTCTACATTCTTTCATATGGATATTCAGGTGCTTCATGAAGTTTTATTATGTCTTGGTCTATCATCTTTTAGTTTTTATCTAACTTAGCAGTACTTCTACTTAAAAATGTTGGCTAGACGTACAAAAGGCATTTCTGACCCACTTCAGTCGGCAGAGGTTCACGGTCTCACCAAATAACTTGCCTTCCTTTTCGAGTGCTACTCACTTTGTCTCTACAATACTCATGTGGAGGTTTTATCACAAAAGGAAGACATTAAGGTGTCATGGTCTCCACCTTCATAAGTGACGAAACAGCATTTTTTCATGATGAAGAGCTTCTAAGACTATTACTCAGATCTACCCGTTCAACTTTTGTTTCAAAATTTCCTTCTTTCAATGTTCGTGGATTACTTTTAAGTATTTAGTGTCGTTACAACCTGTTTGCTTGGTGGCTTATCGGCTCACATTATCCTCTTATTCTTCTGACTTTCATATTCTGATGTCAGCTGAAAGAAAAATCGGTGATTGTTTTAAGCCCAATTGTTCCAAGCAATTTATCCCAACAACCAAACTACAGGTTAGAAACAAATACATTGATAAATTGATGTCACAGACAGGGAAAACAAAACAAATGTATTTTGCTAACTTACCAGATTTGAAATATTGAACATAAAAAGAAAAGCAAAAACAGTAAAAGCAGAATACCAATTGCTGAAGATAGAAGAACACGAGCAAGGTTTGATTCACAGCCTGGAAGAAAAAAGACAAACACGAAACAGTTATTGACCAACTCATCAACGGAATCTTTCATAAGCAGATTATTTAATGCTTTAGATGACAGTGAATAATTTAGTTTTTTATTTGAATACTTTGTCGATGTAACAGTGTGAGATCGTCGCATTTCGGAAAAGTGATCTGAATATAGTAAGATGATACCTGAAGTCAAGACGGTGATATGACTCGCAATGAAACTGAATTCAGAAGTTTCTCAGTTATCATGCCTACAGTCTGCGTGCTGGGCTAGCAGGCTGAGATACTGACCAGATTCCGAAGATTTTGATTTTCCTAGCATGTTATCGTAACTCTATGAAAAGTTGTGTGTGAAGCCACTTTTAAAAACTGCTAAATTGTGAACAGAAATTGATTTTCCAGTCTTTTTCGTTGTTTCATCAAAAAAGAATCATTTGCAAATTCTTTTTAACAGTTAATTTATTCTAAAGAGTTTCCTTACCTTCTTTTATAAACAACAACGATCACCAGCAAATAATGCTTAGCATATGAGAATAATGAAAAGACTGGATATTGAATAAGTGGAAGGTTTAGTACTTACCAAACTGGAACTACAAATTTCAGTTTCAACTTGGTCAATCAGGAGGTTACTTTGGCGGACAAACTAAGGTTATGGTTCATGCTATAAGATACTAAGCGAGAATTTGACTCTGCCTTACTGAGAAAAATGATTACTAGTGACTCACTGCACCTGCAGTGAACATGGACATACTTTGATGATAAGAGCATCCATTCGAAGAGTCTACCTGTGTACCCTTATTAAAGCTTTCAATTTTACTTCAATCTGGGAACCAGTTGAGTGTGCCGGACAAATATGACAGCTCACCACATTTCATGGATCGGCTTAACATACACAACTTACACTCTGTTCACTATAGGACATCACCCTATACCAAGTTAGAACTCTGAAAGTAACAGCATGAAGAATATATGACTTGAAAGTAGTGTACATCACATTGCAAAATAATTTAAAGGGTTGTTGAAAACACGAGAGCAATCGGAAGCTATATATTTCTAGTTTCAGGCTCCTTACCAGTGTGTATCCAAAACTTCAATATAGATCAGATCTGGTACGATCAAGTGTCACTGTCTGTCAACCACGTTATTGTTCAACTGACAAACGAGTGAGTATTTTTGAAGCCGGGCAGCTGTTTACTGCTCATTATTTTTTAACAGTAATGCCTCTAGTTGATTTTAACCCGCGATGAAAAGTGTTTAAAATCTGTCGAACCAGAGAAACCGCATATTAATCTGGCACTTTTGTATATAAAATCTTTTAAAACTTCATGAAATATAACAGATTCTGCAAATAAAACTGAATTTGTTCATCTATTTTAATTCTAGTAACATATGTTCAATTTTTTAATGTACATGTGTATAATAAGCAAGCAGTTTCCGTACAGCTGTTGGTATATCAAAATGAATGAATTATGAGAATGGTAACGATAATATTATTACTTCTTTAGCAGATAAACTGACAAGTGATTATACATCGAAACATTAGTAAGTTGGTCGATTTGTTAAATTTATTATATTTCAACTCTGAATGTTACGCTTGTTTCATTAGTGAACAGAGACAACTAAACGTAAGTAATAATTATCGGATAGACAGGAAATTGAGTGTCCTACCTTGTATGCATAATTATTTCTGTAATTAACAAAATAAATAAATAAGACTGGTAGCTGATATGCTGACTGACTATATTTGTCTTGGTTTCATTAGATTGTGAAATTAGGTCAAATGTTTTACTTTTCTTGGTTAGTAGTAAATTATACAAAATTATTGAATATTCTGAGTTAGTTTATCGTAAATTTAAAAGATTTCTAAATTATTACAAATCGATCTTAAAATTATTCACAAGTTAAGAATAACTGAATAGATGTTTTCTCTTAGTAGGACGATTACTAAATAGTATATAACTACAACCTGTTACTGTAGTAAATACAGAAAACAGACTTAAAGTATTGAACATGTTAACTGCCTAATCATAGCCTATCAGATGAAGCCTAAGAGTTGAAATGAGATCATCTACACATGATGATAATGAGTTTGTGGACCAGCATTAATCTAAATTTATGCAACCGGCTGGTTCTAAAAAGAATGATATGAATACGACTTGTTGTATAAACCATTTTTAGGCACTATCAGTTCTTCTTTATGCAAATCTGTGTTTATTTGACTGACATAATAATAGCTACATGGATGTTGTTATCTACTGGGAAAATGTTATCAAATCACTTTCATCTATATTACATCCTTAGCCTATATATATATATATATATATATATATATATATATATATATATATATATACGTGTTGCCATAATAGATGACATATATACACATTACTTTGACATTTGGCAACCTGATATTGTTATCGAAGCAAGCCGAGAAGATTGATTAAACGCAAAGGAAGGTGGAGAGGTAGATCGAGAAGAAAACTTGAAAAAAATGTATCTGGTAGCCTAGTATTATCTAATCAAAAATGTGCACTCTTTGATTCGACTGATTATCAAGATGTGTTTGTGCTAAAGTTTGCAGTAATTTTGCGAAGCATTAATAATAATAGGCATATATAACTGATAGCTGCGTTTCCCAGTTTTCTTTTTCCCTAGATTTGTATTGCTTTACGGTTACTGAAAAACATTCTATTATGTCTTCAGCAAGTAAATGTTTGATTTAAGATATGAGTTGTGGCAAACACACTATTCGGGTGGGTACAACACGTTATAGGGAAACTGTAATGCACACTCGTGTCTTCACATACGTATATATATCGAACCTCTTCTTCGTGCAATACGTACTTTTCAATAACATTTTTGATAACTTGTCAAGTTATATCTAACAGCACACAAGACTTTAATTGTTTTTTATTAGCTGCAATAGAATACACAGACAGGCACATGCATACATTAATTTCATTTTAGCCGTCATAGCAAATTTTGTTGTTTATTCCCTACTTCTTCTTCTTTTCCTTCTTCCTCTTTAACACCTTTCTACTACTTTCATTGATCTTCTTTATTTTCCAATCTTTCACTTTGATATGTTGATGCAGAGTGTAGCAACTTGAACAGCTGGGCATTAATGTCAGGCCCCCTACTCATCCCGAATGACTGAACCTGCTGATATTGATATTTATGCTTTCATATGGATATCTTCATAATAATAGTCAGAAAAGGAAAGCAGTAGAACTAACGTTTTAAAGTTATTCTGAGGGGCACATTTTTTAATGTGTCTATATCTTACATTTTGCTGCAAGGATGGATATACATTGAAGAGTTCAGACAGAACAGAATGTGCTTTGTAGATTTTAATAAGAACCACTTTCACCTTTAGTGTTCACACTTGTTATCTCTTTTTGGAAACAAAGTTGAACTTGATTTCAAGAGTACATCTATACACAGTTAACTACATTAATTCAGAAGAAAAACACTAAACTAATGAATAGAGAAAAACTATTCCAGGCAAGAAGTCGTTGGGAATTAAAATTAATGCGAGTGAACAGTAAATGATGATATTACTAAAGTTTTGGTGCCCATTAGTTAGAATTAATCTTAATGCACATCACCTAGAGTATTCAACTTTCACTTTTATCCATTCAGAAAAGCATCGTTAAATATCGTCCAAAGCTTCGAAATTGGTTCATATTAGCTCATTTATTTGACTGGTTATCATAATCTTTATGTGGACTTTCTTGGAAAGAGGGGTAATCGAAAATGAGCCAGAAGTTAAAATAGGTAACAGTCGTATTTTACAATTACTTACTACCTTGGTTCACTTATAGGTCAAGACACTATCATTTTAGATGAGTCTGGTCCAAAAACTCCTAAGAGTAACATTGAAACTACTTATGAAACAGTTCCAACCCAGATGGGTCACATTTTACGGTGCCTTGGAGTGTTTATCTTCATGACTTTGACAACACATGATTTAGCTGCCAAACTGACCTTAGTTCCACTTCGCTTGTTAAGAGTTTTGCTCAGTCATCGTGTAAATAAGTGGTACGTGAATGTCAACTTATCATCTTCCTAATCACACAAGACATTCAGAAATATCTTCTCGTCAGACTTCTGGCTCTAGTACAGCTATGACTTAGACTTCGTTTCATTTGAATTCATTATCCTGTGTTATGTCAGAAATATATCACAATACTTTCAACTAGCTGATAATAAGCAAAATAGGGAACCTATCAAGCCTATATTTGATTGGAAAAATCAACACAGAACCTTCCACACGGGTGTATCGGCTCAAGTTGCCACACTTTATAGTAGTATAAAAAGAACAGGTGGACAGAAAAAGAGTGATATTAAAGCAGAAGAAGCCGTGTGAGAAAATAAACAATCTGAAAACAGAAGTTAGTATGAATATTCAAGCTCTAGAAGATGTCAAGGAGTGGATATATCTGCACCACTGTGACCGGTTTTTGATCATGTCACCAGGAGTAATCAACCACTGATTCTTTCCGTCTCGGGGACTACGACCAGGCAGTTTGCTTCTCCCCACATAGCTCAGGGCAACAGTACGAGACTTCATCTACTCGTGCCATGTTTTAGTCTGGACACTCTGAACCCCATCCCAGCCTAATCCAGCTCCCCCTAGTATGAAACTGTGAGATAGGCAACGACTAGGCATGCGCAGTACATGTTCAACCCATCTCAGTCGACAAAGGTTCACAATACACCGATCGACTTGTCTGTGCTGCCTAGTACCCTTCACCTGACCTCAACATTGTTCACACGGTGATTACACCACACGAGCAATGCCACGAAGACATGTGTGTTCAAAACCTTGTAGTCGCTTCAAATCTTCTAATTTTAACGGTTATTTCTCACAGTCGTACAACAGAACAAAACGGACTGTAGCGGAATATACTTGTCCTGTAATAGCTAGTCCGATAAATCGCCAGTCAACAACACAGATGACGCAACTAGACGAATATCAAACGGGCCTTATGTATCCA